ACACAAGTAATACAAAATATGTAGTGATCGATAGTTAATAACAAATCAATAGAATAATATAATTTAGCTTATAAAACCACTCTTTAAGCTTTAACAAAAACTATTCTTTGCAAAATTTTATTATAAACTATAACCTTTCAAAACTCAAAGCTTACCCTAACCCTAGCCTTAAATCAGATTTAATTTTAGTTATAAACTATATAACCTCTCCAATCCCAATGCTTACTCTAACCCTAATCTTAAATTGGCTTATAAACTATAATCTCTTCTAATCCCAAAGTTCACTCTAACCCTAACTTTAAATCAGGCTTAACTTTGGTCTATAATTTATATATATTACACAGATTTCCTATAAGAAATTATCTTTTGCATACAATAATAGCTTTAATGTTAAGTAATTTTGTATATAATTCGCAAATTTCTAATCTAATATAAGTTCACTCTGGTATAAAGATATTCTTTCATTATGACATATATGTTGTAAGTTAGAATGAAACTAAATTGCTTTGAAATTAGAACATTCATTTTTATTTGCAATTACTATGCATATTATAGCCAACAAATAATTATAGTATACTTTAACTTAGGTTTAAATAGACATTATAAATTTTGAATTAAAGATAGATGGAAATCTAATAAATGATTATTACAAATCTTACTACTATCATAAAATCTCCAAATTACAGGTGTCTGAGGGTTACTTTGATCGCTTGTACGTTAGTTTAAATATGACTATTTCAAGATAAAATACTGTATTAATTTCTAAGAGCATTTTCAAACACCTATTTCAATAAGCTAAACAAGGAATCTAGTTAATAAATTTAATCAGATTCCTTGTTGAGACCATTGAAATAGGTGTTCAAGAACATACCAAGTTCAGTTTAACTATTATTAATATTAATATGCGATATGATAAATGATTATTTCGAAACAGACAAAAGCATTATTTCAGAGCAACTATACTATTTTAAAGACAGAACTTTTAAAATATTGCTATTTTGAGAATTCACAGTACAAAGTGTATACCAAATTCAACAAATTCAGATTATAAATTACAACCTTAACATTACATAATACTAAATCATCTAATACTTTAACAGCTAACAACCTAATACCTAACTACTTACTTTTTTTTTTGTTTTTTGGATTTAATTCACAAGTCTTAGTATAGTGACCTGTATTATTACAATAAAAACATTTGCATATAGATTTGTTTGTAATATCAGATTCATTAAGTACTTTATTAGGTTTAAAAATTTAATGAAAATTCGATTCATTAATGACTTCTAAAGAGCCTTGTAATTGTTTCTTTAATTGACCACGGTGTGCAATAACCTGAGGATTTGTTACTAATCCAATAATATCTGATCTCAATAAGTTGTTGACTTGAATATGCTTTGATTCAATAAAGGTATGTATTAGGCTAATAAACTCATTCATAGTATCACTATCAAGTGCAACTTGGACTTCTTTTTTAGCAATGCCATTGCCTTGACAATACTCAGCCTTCTTGGACATATGGGGGGAAGTCAATAGAAAAGGGACAAATCATTTTTAGTAAAATTTTTTTAATTTTTAAATTAAAATATCTT